TCAGTGTGGTGGTAGAGTCCAGTGTGTGGGTAGAGTCCAGTGTGGGGGTAGAGTCCAGTGTGTGGGTAGAGTCCAGTGTGTGGTGGTGTAGGTCCAGTGTGTGGGTAGAGTCCAGTGTGTGGTAGAGTAGGTAGAGTGTGTGGGTAGAGTCCAGTGTGTGGGTAGGTCAGTGTGGTAGAGTCCAGTGTTGGTAAGTCCAGTGTGGGGTAGAGTCCAGTGTGTGGGTAGAGTCCAGTGTGTGGTAGAGTCCAGTGTGTGGGTAGAGTCCAGTGGTGTGGGTAGGGTCCAGTGTGTGGGTAGAGTCCAGTGTGTGGGTAGAGTCCAGTGTGGGGTAGAGTCCAGTGTGTGGGTAGAGTCCAGTGTGTGGGTAGAGTCAGTGTGTGGGTAGAGTCCAGTGTGTGGGTAGAGTCCAGTGTGTGGTAGAGTCCAGTGTGTGGGTAGAGTCAGTGGGTAGAGTCCAGTGTGTGGGTAGAGTCCAATGTGTGCATAGAGTCCAGTGTGTGGGTAGAGTCCAGTGTGTGGGTAGAGTCCAGTGTGTGGGTAGAATCCAGTGTGTGGGTAGAGTCCAGTGTGTGCATAGAGTCCAGTGTGTGGGTAGAGGCCAGTGTGTGGGTAGAGTCCAGTGTGTGGGGTAGAGTCCAGTGTGTGGGTAGAGTCCAGTGTGGGGTAGAGTCCAGTGTGTGGGTAGAGTCCAGTGTGTGGGTAGAGTCCAGTGTGTGGGGTAGAGTCCAGTGAGTGTGTGGTAGAGTCCAGTGTGTGGGTAGAGTCCAGTGTGTGGGTAGAGTCCAGTGTGTGTGCATAGAGTCAGTGCAGGAGAGTTAGTGCAAAAAATGGTCAATGCAGATAGTCTGGGTTGCATTTGATTAGCTATTTAGCGGTCTTGTTTAGCAGTCTTATGGCTTGGGGGTAGAAGCTGTTCAGGGTCCTGCTGGTTCCAGACTTGGTGCATCGGTACCGCTTGCCGTGCGGTAGCAGAGAGAGCGGTCTGTGGCTTGGGTGGTTGGAGTCTTTTACAATTCTTTGGGCCTTCCTCTGACACCGCCTGGTATAGAGGTCCTGGATGCCAGGAAGCTTGGCCCCAGTGATGTACTGGGCCGTACTCACCACCCTCTGTAGTGCCTTGCGGTCGGAGGCCGAGCAGTTGCCGTACCAGGCGGTGATGCAACCAGTCAGGATGCTCTCAATGGTGCAGCAGTAGAACCTTTTGAGGATCTGAGGAGCCATGTCAAATCTTTTCAGCCTCCTGAGTGGGAAGAGGTGCTGTCGTGCCCTCTTCACGGCTGTGTGGGTGTGTGTGGACCATGTTCATTCCTTAGTGATGTGGACACCGAGGAACTTGAAGCTCTCGAACCGCTCCACCACAGCACCGTGGATGTGGATGAGAGACATGCTCGCCCCTCCGTTTCCTGTAGAGCACGATCAGCTCCTTTGTCTTGCTGATGTTATAATGACATTCAAATTATTTTCAGCCTACATGTGGTTTCAGAGCTGGGATTTATTTGAATGTTATCACCCACCAGCATGGCATTGTTTATTATTCAGAAAACAACTGCAAAGTTATTCCTCTCCAAGACTGAGATGAGCCAAACAGTGTCCACTAAGCTGACTGAGCCTTGGAGCAAATTAACACATAACATTAGATAGCTCCCGAGTGGCGCAGTGGTCTAAGGCTGTCTAGCTGTGCCACTAGAGATTCTGGTTCGAATCTAGGCTCTGTCGTAGCCGGCCGCGACCCATGGGGCGGCGCACATTTTGGCCGGGAGGGGAGGGAATGTCCGGCAGGGATGTAGCCCAGTATGAAAAAATAAAAATAATAATGTATTCACTCACTCTGGATAAGAGCGTCTGCTAAATGTAAAAAATTTTAAATGTATAGCTAGATTAGGTTAGCATGATAGCTAGCTACACCGACAACTGTCATTGCCCTATTTGTTGATGTTTATCAACTCTATGTGGAAATCCTCACACCCAATTTGTGAATATGTATAAGTAGCCTTTGTCATTCTTCGGAGGTGGAACCTAAACGTGCATTTCTTCTCTAGGACAGGAAATTACGTTGAAATAGTGGCAGTAACTTCCTCTGGGGGGTCCTAACCTAACCCTTTAAGAGCATTTGGACTCCTCTGGAGAATCTCAATTGCATTTCCTTGATTCCTCGCATCCTCTCTTCTCGCCTCCTTCTCAAAACCCATTGGATGAGAAAATCAGAGGTCCCTCCTCTCTGAAGTTCTCATCAAATAGGTTTGGAGAAGGAGGTGAAGCCTGAAAGACCGCTCAGCAAGGAAGAAGCCACTGCTCCAAAACCGCCATAAAAAAGCCAGACTATGGTTTGCAACTGCACATGGGGACAAAGATCGTACTTTTTGGAGAAATGTCCTCTGGTCTGATGAAACAAAAATAGAACTGTTTGGCCATAATGACCATCGTTATGTTTGGAGGAAAAAGGGGAAGGCTTGCAAGCCGAAGTACACCATCCCAACCGTGAAGCACAGGGGTGGCAGCATCATGCTGTGGGGGTGCTTTGCTGCAGGAGGGACTGGTGAAAATTATGTGGATATATTGAAGCAACATTTCAAGACATCAGTCAGGAAGTTAAAGCTTGGTCGCAAATGGGTCTTCCAAATGGACAATGACCCCAAGCATACTTCCAAGGTTGTGGCAAATGTGCTTAAGGACAACAAAGTCAAGGTATTGGAGTGGCCATCACAAAGCCCTGACTTCAATCCTATAGAAAATTTGTGGGCAGAACTGAAAAAGTGTGTGCGAGCAAGGAGGCCTACAAACCTGACTCAGTTACACCAGCTCTGTCAGGAGGAATGGGCCAAAATTCACCCACCTTATTGTGGGAAGCTTGTGGAAGGCTACCCGAAACGTTTGACCCAAGTTAAACAATTTAAAGAAAATGCTACCAAATACTAATTGAGTGTATGTAAACTTCTGACCCACTGGGAATGTGATGAAATAAATAAAAGCTGAAATAAATCATTCTCTCTACTATTATTCTGACATTTCACATTCTTAAAGTGGTGATCCTAACTGACCTAAGACAGGGAATTTTATGTCAGGAATGGTGAAAAACTGAGTTTAAATGTATTTGTCTAAGGTGTATGTAAACTTCCGACTTCAAATGTACGTAACTTTAATACCTCATGAAAACAAAGATTTAGATCTCAACTATAAAGTTGAATTTAAAAAAGGAAAGTGTTGAGGTTTTCAAATGTCAAAATGCTTACAGAGTAACCCAGAAGTGACTTCAGTCAGCCAGACACAGTGGGTTGCAAACCAACGTCATCTCTCTATCTGGTCATAATGAATTTGCTCCACCCAAAGCATCTCTCTATCTGGTCATTATCAATTTGCTCCACCCAAATCATCTCTGGAAGAACACAGCAGACATTATAGTAAATATTGAGTAATCACAGGGGTAATTATATCACACACAGGCTTCTAGATATATAATATAATATATATATATATATATATAGTGTATATCTACAGATAACCATGTCTTACTGATGCTTTATAAAAACATGACTTCACCATTTTGTCTGGCGGTTTTATGATTATGATTCATGTTTAGTTCCAGTTCTGTGTTTGAAGACAATATTAAATGAAGACATGCTCGTCTAAAACACTGAAATAGCAACTTGCTGTTTGAACATCAATGAATTCCATTTAGTGTATTATTTATTTATTATACTGTGAAACACAGAAAGTTAAAAAAAAAATTATTGCACAATAGAATACAATGTCAATGTCAACTTTAGCTTCTTCATTCGAGGGCCTGGAATCTGTTGTCGTTGGGCAGAATGAATGTAATGTCCTCCTCCGTTGGAAACACAAGACATCTTCTATCTTCAATGGAGAAAGACGTAGAGGAAGACAACACATAGTTTACATCCAAGCCAACGAGTACAGCATAATGCTTAGTACAGAGAACATGTCATCCAAGCCAACGAGTACAGCATAATGCTTAGTACAGAGAACATGTCATCCAAGCCAACGAGTACAGCATAATGCTTAGTACAGAGAACATGTCAAATGTATTCAATCTCTTAATGACATTCAATATTCAACCTACTTTGTTTTTTAAAATAGTTGGACATTTACAGTCACTTCTACGTGAATAATTTCGATTTTGATCACACTTCAGTTCATACCCTTGATGTTCTCCTTACAATGAACAAACCATCTTCCCTTTAGATTAAAAGTAATATATTTGGTCGTATAAGTATCCCTCTGTCTCTCTCTGTCCTAGATGACGTGGGGTCGGTAACCAGGGGTCGGTAACGGTAACCAGGGGTCGGTAACGGTAACCAGGGGTCGGTAACGGTAACCAGGGGTCGGTAACGGTAACCAGGGGTCGGTAACGGTAACCAGGGGACATAACCAGAGGCGTTATGTTTCACATGAGGTCATCGTGACGAGATAATGTCACACAGTCTAAACAGAGTATTAGCTTCTCCACTTAATCCCAATCACTTTTATTCACCAAGTCTAGAACAGAACAGAATAGAATAGAATAGAATAGAATAGAATAGAATAGAATAGAATAGAACAGAACAGAATATAACAGAACAGAACAGAATAGAACAGAACAGAATAGAACAGAACAGAACAGAATAGAATAGAATAGAATAGAACAGAACAGAACAGAACAGAGACAGAACAGAATAGAATAGAACAGAACAGAATAGAACAGAATAGAACAGAATAGAATAGAATAGAATAGAATAGAATAGCTTTAATTTTCCCAGAGGAAACTTTGGTTGTGGCATTCTGGATTAGATAGTAAACACATAACAACACAATTGACTCATGACAGATACAGGTAAACAAATGCATTATACTAGAAAAACACAAAGTCACTAGAATTATAAGTGTTTCCTTTGGAGCTGATGGACATCAGCACATCTCTCTACTATATTTAGAGACCATATGTTTTACAGTCTATGATTCAGAGTACAGAAGACCAAAAGGTGTCCAAATGACTACTTTCACATTAACCTTTATTCTACTACAAAACATCAGGGTTTTCTGGTCTGCTGCTATAGGTGATGGTAAACCTCGTGCATTGAATGGGAACAAGTGACAACAAGTAGCTCATCGAGCAGATGAAGCAAAGTCATTGTAAACACTCATAGCTTCATTATTCCTGGTGCAGTTTGTGTTTATGATGCCCTTAGGTACGCTTAGCTAGGCCTATGTGCTCTGTTTCTGAGTTGTAGGCTTTTGTGTCAATTAATTTACAATATGGAATGGGATCACTTTTGGGAGGTGTAATCTGTCAACGTTCATACATTTAGATGGAAGTTGAGTTGAGTGCACAGGTCATAATCTGATGGAACGTTAAAAACATTCTGTCCCTGGCAATGGAGGTCATGGCTAGAAGGTATCCAGCTTTTGTCAAAATAACGTCAGATTTGACTTTTCGTAGCAAGTTAGGAGAACTTACACAGCAGTTTATGAGAATTAACGTAGCAGGTTAGGATAATTAGGTTAAGGTTAGGAAAATGGTTAGGGTTAGCTAAAATGCAACTAAAATAAAACAACTTTTGACGTTTAATTAGACAAAAGCTGGATCCCTTCTAGCCATGACCGACAATGGGGAACGCAAAACGGTTTCCCCGCTCTGACGTAAGAACATAGACCTCTTTGCTTGTTCTTTTACGGAATTAAAACTCCTACATTTTTTCTATCGAAAAAAAAAAAAATACAAAACCCATTATGTAGCCTACACAGTGGGCCCAGAGGAATGTGGCCCAGAGGCCAGTGTATGTCGGACTGGGTCCAGGCTAAATAGCCTAATGAATAACAACATTTATTTATAGATTACAGAACTTGTGCCCTATTAACAGATCCCTTTTTAGATGGTTTCCAACACTTGGCGATGTGGGATCCGTCGGTTCTCTGTGGTGTTGTGCGGTTGTTAAAGTGTATTTCCTAAATTGTCGGTAGACCTGCCCTCCGTATATCACTGTATTGACGTGTTGTCAGCAAATGGGAGCAGAAGGGCCGATCCTTCGTCTGAAGAGGTCATTCTGACTATAAGGCCGATCCTTCGGCTGAAGAGGTCATTTTGATTACAGTTGCCACTTGTTGCCAAAACCTTCAGGGCATCAAGACTTGATCACAGCGACTACATTTACACACATTATTCTGTTTGCTCCAATCGAGACACGGATCTCGATGTTCAATCAGGATTCAGGAATACTCCCACATCTAATATCGAAAGGAGATACTTTGTGAACTGTTTGATATTTCGGTCTGATCTAAGGACTGAAGCATGGTTGATAACACCAGTTTAGCAACTAAATCTGCTTTGGTAAGCGTCCCATTTTGTTCCTTCTCAAACCACGTTGATTGATTTTGATTGTTGTCATTAGAGTATGTAGATGTTTGAATCACATTTACAGTAAAGTAACTTTTTTTAAAAACAACTTTTAATTGTAAATGCTTCAATAGATTGATACGCGCGTTTCTGATGCGTTATAGAGAAATAGTACCAATGGTTTAATGTTCATGTTTATTTTGTCACAATATACACTGTTATAGCGACATCAGCATTATACAGCGCAACATGTTACTTTGTTACCCACGTTCATTTACGAAATACAGTAGTTTACATAGTAGTCTATTTATGGTGCACTTTTAATAAGTTAGAAACCACGTTTTAGGAGATATCGACTCCAGCGGCCAAATGTCGGCCACATTAGTATAATATGCATGGCCATGCTGTTTTCCAGTTTATTACAGCGTTATTTCTTAACAGTTTATGACTCAGTGCAAACTCTGTTACAATAGTTTTTAGTGGTTATTTTTACCCCCTCGCCCTCCACAGCAAGCAGCGTTCTCCTCGGCCAGCAACCTCCCCCTGCTCGTCTCGTCTGCCTCGACACCCAGCCACTTCCCCCGGCTCACATTCACAGTCCCACCAGCCCAACAGCGGAGGCATGAAGCTAGAGGCGGTCATGGAAAACCTCCAAAGACAGCAGGCTGCCCGCCTGGCGCTAGAAGAGAAACTCCGGCAGGCCGAGAAAGAGAAAGACCTCCGCTCCATGGTCGAGTCCCAGATCCACCAACAAGCCCTCGCCTTCCGCCACTACCAGGCAGCGGTCCGGGTCGCTTTCGCTGCGGGAATAGCGAACTCTTCTCCCGGGTTGGCGAGCTCCGCTGAACGGGAACCAATTCTCCCTCACAGTCTTTACGCTCGCAGGCACTCGGCCAAAGCCGACGACTCCGATATGGACGATGATCCAGAGGGCATGGACCGAGGTATGGATGATGACGACCTGGATCTGGATGGAGATGAAATGGACAACGAGGGAGTCGTGGATGATGAGGATGAGGAGGCCATGGAGGGGGCTCTCAGCCACTACCAGCCCCGCCACCCCATGCACCCCGGGGCGGGACACTCGCCAAAGGACAACCCGGTACATCTCATGCCCAGAGACCCTGCGTCTTTCGCTGCGCCCCAGCAGTCAGAGTCCCCGGGCGGGACGGCACCACAGTCTCAGCATCACGATTGGACTTACGAGGAGCAATTCAAACAGGTAACGCTGACTTCTAATAAGTAATAACTTGATATGAAACTTTACTCAACATAGACTCAACTGACTGTACTAACCCTTTTTGATAACAACCCATCTCCTTACTAAAGCCTCCTTACTAGCCTATAATAAAGCCTTTTTATAATTCCAAAACACAATTGAAACGTATGTTTGACTATACAGACGTAATATCTTAATTTCCGCAGGAAATGCAAACATGTAGTGTATTTGAGTTTTAAAAAATGCTTCTAAAGTTTGTAATTTCCACTTTGAAATGTCAGACTTGATTTTCCTTAACGAAAACGGTATCAACCCCTACAAAAATGTTCATTAGTTATAATCCACATAGTGATTTACATTTTCTCTTGCTGCAGGATTATTTTCCTGCAGTAGCAAACTGGCTCAAATTAAGATCCTACATCTGTAGAACACACAGGACTCCCGAGTGGTGCAGTGGTCTAAGGCACTGCATCGCAGTGCTAGCTGTGCCACTAGAGATTCTGGTTAGAATCCAGGCTCTGTCGTAGCCGGCCGTGACCGGGAGACCCATGGGGCGGCGCACAATTGGCCCGGGTAGGGAGAATGGCACGGCGGTTTGTAGCAGCGGATTTTTTCCAGCAGTTAGCAAACTGTCACCATAGATCCCTCTGTAAACGCTCAATGACGAGTAATGGAGTTTCTAAAACGCATTACCATTGTTCAAATGTGTCATTAGCTATTTGTTTAAGAATAAGGTTGTGTGCTCACTACGGAGACATGGGGTGTCGGCGCACAGTTGGACATTGGTCGTCCAGTGTATGGAGGGATGGTCGGCGGGATGTTGATGAAAGGTTGTGTGTTTTCTCCCACTGAGGCATGGTTTGTTATGACACTGATGAAAGAGTTGGTGGTCTCCTATTGATCATGCATGGGGTTTTCATCAACGTATATAATGAGATTGTGGTTTTACTTCTATTGCGGGGTTTTCAAAGACTTATGAAAGAGATTGGTGTGTTTTCTCACTATCTAATCATGGCATGGGGTTTGTGACATGTATTTGTTTAAAATCTATCACTTGATGGTTTCATATCAGAGACACAAATAATCATGTTTTGCTGCTAAATGCTTTATATCCTCCACATTCTCAGAGAAATAAGTAGTACTGCTAGGTTTTACACAGTGAAATGTAACAAATTACTACATTTGTAATAAAGAAATAACAAATAATTAAATACAGTGATATGAGATTTGACATTTTAGTAATTTAGTAGATGGTCTTATCAAGAGCATCTTACAGTAAGTGCATTCATCTTAAGATTGCTAGGTGAGACAACCACATATCACACTCAAATATACAGGATATGAACATTCCATTCCAGCTAAACAATGGATATACAGCATTTTGCAAAAATATACTTTTTTTTCATACCCATCTAAAATCTATGAATAAAAAAATGTGAGAACAGTAATATTGTACACACACACGAAGGGACCCAGAGGCAATCATGTCTGAGGAAAACACCTCTCTGAATGTCTGTGTATGACACTGTGTCCCCTGCTCTCTGAGGTGTGTTATATGTGCCCTCTTGAGGGGATGACACTGTGTCACCTCTTCGAGGTTGTATGACACTGTCCCGTCCTGATGTGTATGACACTGTGTCCCCTGCTCTCTGAGGTGTGTAATGACACTGTGTCCCCTGCTCTCTAAAGGTGTGTATGAACTGTGTCCCCTGCTCTCTGAGGTTGTATGACACTGTGTCCCCTGCTCTCTAGTGTTGAGGTTGTGAGTGATACTGTGTCCCCTGCTCTCTGAGGGTTTATGACACTGTGTCCCCTGCTCTCTGAATGTCTGTGTATGACACTGTGTCCCCTGCTCTCGGAGGTTGTATGACACTGTGTCCCCTACTTCTGAGGTGTTTATGACACTGTGTCCCCTGCTCTCTGAGGTGTGTATGACACTGTGTCCCCTGCTCTCTGAGGTTGTGTATGACACTGTGTCCCCTGCTCTCTGAGGTGTGTATGACACTGTGTCCCCTCTGCTCTGAATGTCTGTGTATGACACTGTGTCCCCTGCTCTCTGAGGTGTGAATGACACTGTGTCCCCTGCTCTCTGAGGTGTGTATGACACTGTGTCCCCTGCTCTCTGAGGTGTGTATGACACTGTGTCCCCTGCTCTCTGAGGTGTGTATGACACTGTGTCCCCTGCTCTCTGAGGTGTGTATGACACTGTGTCCCCTGCTGTCTGAGGTGTGTATGACACTGTGTCCCCTGCTCTCTGAGGTGTGTATGACACTGTGTCCCCTGCTCTCTGAGGTGTGAATGACACTGTGTCCCCTGCTCTCTGAGGTGTGTATGACACTGTGTCCCCTGCTCTCTGAATGTCTGTGTATGACACTGTGTCCCCTGCTCTCTGAGGTGTGAATGACACTGTGTCCCCTGCTCTCTGAATGTCTGTGTATGACACTGTGTCCCCTGCTCTCTGAGGTGTGAATGACACTGTGTCCCCTGCTCTCTGAGGTGTGTATGACACTGTGTCCCCTGCTCTCTGAGGTGTGTATGACACTGTGTCCCCTGCTCTCTGAGGTGTGTATGACACTGTGTCCCCTGCTCTCTGAATGTCTGTGTATGACACTGTGTCCCCTGCTGTCTGAGGTGTGTATGACACTGTGTCCCCTGCTCTCGGAGGTGTGAATGACACTGTGTCCCCTGCTGTCTGAGGTGTGAATGACACTGTGTCCCCTGCTCTCTGAGGTGTGTATGACACTGTGTCCCCTGCTGTCTGAGGTGTGTATGACACTGTGTCCCCTGCTCTCTGAGGTGTGTATGACACTGTGTCCCCTGCTCTCGAGGTGTGAAATGACACTGTGTCCCCTGCTGTCTGAGGTGTGAATGACACTGTGTCCCCTGCTCTCTGAGGTGTGTATGACACTGTGGTCCCCTGCTGTCTGAGGTGTGTATGACACTGTGTCCCCTGCTCTCTGAGGTGTGTATGACACTGTGTCCCCTGCTGTGGTCCCGTGATAATATGTCTGACACCATTTGACTTCACATGCAGGTTCCAGATGCAGGCCTCCGTGAGACAGAATATCTTTTGTATTATGGCTCATGTCTATGTTTTTATTAGCTGACCAGGCCTACATTACATTTATTGATATTACTATTTTATTTAATATGAATACTTTCATATATTTAGTGATTTACCTACAGCAAAGAAATGAAAAAAGCTTTTCTCCTTTTCATTGCTACCGTATTAGTAACTGATCATTATTTCATTCATTCTTATTGATAAAAAAGAACGGTTGGATTTCTATACATCATGTCCCATCTATTGTGTCAGTGTTGGCGTTATGCCTTTTTCAATGCATATTTCAATATTTTGGTCACAATAAGAAATAAATAGTTTTCTGAAATGTCCTTATCCACTCACTGTCTTACCAGTATACTGAAGCCTATTCACACAAAAAAAAAGGTGATATCCATCCACCAGAATCCATGTAAGAGACAGGCCATATAGCGAACACAGATCTATATTTCTGAGTGAATGTGGATGGACATGTCATCCTTTGTTTATGACGGATCATTCAGACACTTCCCTAAATGTAATGTACACATTAGGGCCCTGCATTACGTAACCTGAAACAATGGAAATGCAATTAAAATCAGGGAAACAGAAAACCTTAATAGAGATATGCACTACTGTAGTTCTTACGTTACTCATTGGACAAAATACAATAATTTACATTTTATATATACTGAGTGTCCAAAACATTATGAACACCTGCTCTTTCCATGACATAGATTGACCAGGTGAAAGCTATGATCCCTTATTGATGTTACTAGTTAAATCCACTTCACTTAGTGTAGATGAAGGGGAGGAGACAGGTTAAAGAAGGATTTTTAAGCCTTGAGACAATTGAGACATGGATTGTGTATGTGTGCCTTAGAACGGGGTATGGTAGTAGGTGCCAGGCGCACCGGTTTGAGTCAAGAACTGCAACGCTGCTGGGTTTTTCACTCTCAACAGTTTCCTGTGTGTATCAAGAATGGTCCACCACACAAAGGACATCCAGCCAACTTGACACAACTGTGGGAAGCATTGGAGTCAACATGGGCCAGTATCCCTGTGGAACACTTAGAGACCTTGTAGAGTCCACGCCCCGACTAATTGTGGCTGTTCTGAGGGCAAAAGGAGGGGGGGGGGGGGGGGGGGGGGGGGGGGGGGGGGGGGGGGGGGGGGGGGGGGGGGGGGGGTGGGGGGGGGGGGGGGGTGGGGGGGGGGGGGGGGGGGGGGGGGGAGGGGGGGGGGGAGAGTCTCAAACTGTAGGAGCTCAGATGCAATAATTGAATAACCTAATCACCAATGTTTTGACAAGCTGTCTTCATCAGATACAGTTCTGTATCATACCATGGAAATCTGAAAATCAGTCTTTGGAAAAACTGTAATTGCAATTTACAACTAGTGTATGTAGTATTGATCAGTAACACTAGTGTATGTAGTATTGATCAGAAACACTAGTGTATGTAGTATTGATCATTACAACTAGTGTATGTAGTATTGATCATTACACTAGTGTATGTAGTATTGATCAGAAACACTAGTGTATGTAGTATTGATCATTACAACTAGTGTATGTAGAATTGATCATTACACTAGTGTATGTAGTATTGATCAGAAACACTAGTGTATGTAGTATTGATCATTACAACTAGTGTACAGTGCATTCGGAAAGTATTCAGACCCCTTGACTTTTTACACATTTTGTTTTACGTTGCAATCTTATTCTAACATGGATTAAATTGTAGTTTTGTTTTCCTCATCAATATATACACAATACCCCATAATGACAAGCATAAACAGTTTTTTTGAAATGTGTGCAAACCCCCCCCCCCCCCCAAATAAACGGAAATATTACATTTACATAAGTATTCAGACCCTTTACTCAGTACTTTATTGAAGCACCTTTGGCAGCGATTACAGCCTTGAGTCTTCTTGGGTATGACGCTACAAGTTTGGCACACCTGTATTTGGGGAGTTTCTCCCATTCTTCTCTGCAGATCCTCTCAAGCTCTGTCAGGTTGGATGGGGAGCATCACTGCACAGCTTTTTTCAGGTCTCTCCAGAGATGTTCGATCGGGTTCAAGTTCGGGCTCTGGCTGGGCCGCTCAAGGATATTCAGAGACTTGTCCCGAAGCCACTCCTGCGTTGTCTTGGCTGTGTGCTTAGGGTCGTTGTCCTGTTGGAAGGTGAACCTTCGCCCCAGTCTGAGGTCCTGAGCGCTCTGGAGCAGGTTTTCATCAAGGATCTCTCTGTACTTTGCTCCGTTCATCTTTCGATCCTGACTCCTCTCCCAGTCCCTGCTGCTGAAAAACATCCCCACAACATGATGCTGCCACCACCATGCTTCACCGTAGTGATGGTGCCAGGTTTCCTCCAGAAGTGACACTTGGCATTCATGCCAAAGAGTTCAATCTTGGTTTCATCAGACCAGAGAATCTTGTTTGTCATGGTCTGAGAGTCTTTAGGTGCCTTTTGGCAAACTCCAAGCGGGCTGTCATGTGCCTTTTACTGAGGAGTGGCTTCGGTCTGGCCACTCTACCATAAAGGCCTGATTTGGTGGAGTGCTTCAGAGATGGTTGTCCTTCTGGAAGGTTCTCCCATCTCCACAGAGGAACTCTGGAGCTCTGCCAGTGTGACCATCGGGTTCTTGGTCACCTCCCTGACCAAGGCCCTTCTCCCCCGATTGCTCAGTTTGGCCGGGCGGCCAGCTCTAGGAAGAGTCTTGGTGGTTCCAAACTTCTGCCATTTAAGAATGTGGGAGGCCACTGTGTTCTTGGGGACCTTCAATGCTGCAGAAATGTTTTGGTACCCTTTCCCAGGTCTGTGCCTCGACACAATCCTGTCTCTGAGCTCTACGGACAATTCCTTCGACCCCATGGCTTGGTTTTGGCTCTGACATGCACTGTCAACTGTGGGACCTTATATAGACTTGTGTGTGCCTTTCCAAATCATGTCCAATCAATTGAATTTACCACAGGTATCAAGTTGTAGATACATCTCAAGGATGAGAAATGGAAACAGGATGCACCTGAGCTCAATTTCGATTCTCATAGCAAAGGGTTTGAATACTTATGTAAATGTATTTCAGATTTTGATAAATTTGCAACAATTTCTAAAAACCTGTTTTCACTTTGTCATTATGGGGTATTGTGTGTAGATCGATGATGAAAAAAATTAATTTAATCAATTTTAGAATAAGGCTGTAACGTAACAAAATGTGGAAAAAGTCAAGGGGTCTGAATACTTTCCGAATGCACTGTATGTAGTATTGATCATTACAGCTAGTGTATGTAGTATTGATCAGTAACACTAGTGTATGTAGTATTGATCAGTAACACTAGTGTATGTAGTATTGATCATTACACTGGTGTATGTAGTATTGATCATTACACTAGTGAATGTAGTATTGATCATTACAACTAGTGTATGTAGTATTGATCAGTAACACTAGTGTATGTAGTATTGATCAGTAACACTAGTGTATGTAGTATTGATCATTACACTGGTGTATGTAGTATTGATCATTACACTAGTGAATGTAGTATTGATCAGAAACACTAGCGTATGTAGTATTGCTCAGTAACACTAGTGTGTGTTTAGAAACAGCTGTCATACTGAATACTGTGTGAGGCTTTGCTGAAAACTAGTCTCTATTATCAAGGAAAGTCTATTATCAAGGAAAGACTAGTCTCTATTTGACTCCAGTTGAGAGCTATATTGTTCAGGATGTGCTGTTGTAGCCAGGTCATTTGTAGTCGGCCATAGGACAATAAAAGGATGCTCATGGTCACTGAGCAGACAAGCCGGAGCCAGACTAGTATGTGTTCAGAGTTGCAAAACAAAACCACATTTAAAGGCAACTAAAGGGAGACAGGCAACTAACTGCATCTTTGTAAAATGGGAACAAGATGTGGTGTTGGGGAGGTTCAATATAAAGCCTGGGCCTCTAGTGGAGGATACTAAGGCATGTTCATATTTACTGTAACTACTAAATCACCGGGATGTATACATCAGGCTGTTGATGTATTAAAGCCAGACACTAAGATTCTGCTTCTGTGAATGGATTTCTGTGGACCAATAAAATAAATGGAATAGAATAATCAATGGCCCCCTATTAAATGAATGAATTAAAAATATTGAGAAAATAACAATATAGAACAATTCCTTATTGTCTTTCTCTCATAAAGTAAATGGAGTATTACTGTAAAACCGAGCGGTAGGGTAAGGTAGTGGGTTCGATTCCCGGGACCACCCATACACAAAAATGTACGACTGTAAGTCGCTTTGGATAAAAGCATCTGCTAAATGGCATATTATTATTATTATTATTATTATTATAAATAGGGTATTACTGTAAAACAGAGCGGTAAATAGGGTATTACTGTAAAACAGAGCGGTAAATAGAGTATTACTGTAAAACAGAGCGGTAAATAGGGTATTACTGTAAAACAGAGCGGTAAATAGAGTATTACTGTAAAACAGAGTGGTAAATAGGGTATTACTGTAAAACAGAGTGGTAAATAGGGTATTACTGTAAAACAGAGTGGTAAATAGGGTATTACTGTAAAACAGAGTGGTAAATAGGGTATTACTGTAAAACAGAGTGGTAAATAGGGTATTACTGTAAAACAGAGTGGTAAATAGAGTATTACTGTAAAACAGAGTGTAATAGGGTATTACTGTAAAACAGAGTGGTAAATAGAGCATTACTGTAAAACAGAGTGGTAAATAGAGTATTACTGTAAAACAGAGTGGTAAATAGAGTATTACTGTAAAACAGAGTGGTAAATAGAGTATTACTGTAAAACAGAGTGGTAAATAGAGTATTACTGTAAAACAGAGTGGTAAATATAGTATATTACTGTAAAACAGAGTGGTAAATAGAGTATTACTGTAAAACAGAGTGGTAAATAGAGTATTACTGTAAAACAGAGTGGTAAATAGAGTATTACTGTAAAACAGAGCGGTAAATATAGTATTACTGTAAAACAGAGCCGTAAATATAGTATTACTGTAAAACAGTGGTAAATAGAGTATTACTGGAAAACAGAGTGGTAAATAGAGTATTACTGTAAAACAGAGCGGTAAATATAGTATTACTGTAAAACAGTGGTAAATAGAGTATTACTGGAAAACAGAGTGAAAAAAAATAAAACAGTGTAAGTTTAAGATGGAGCTAAGGGAGGAGCGAGAGGGAGAGAGAACATTTTAACATGAGGTTGCATATCGTTTTGGCAGCAGGACAGGAAATGCAGGGAAGTAGAGCAGGTGGCAATCCAACCTGGCTCACAACCAAACATGCTGGGATCTCCCTCTCTGACAGGGGCGTGTCTGTCACCTCACAGCCAACCCATTACAAAACAGAAACAAATAGAGGGCCCAGCACGTTTTACACACAGACACACACACACACACACACACACACCACACACACACCACACACACGACACACACCACACAACACACACCACACCACACACACCACACAAACACAACAGACACACACACACACACACACACAGACACACACACACACACACCACACACACCCACACACACTACAACACACACACACACACACACATACACACACCACACACACACACACACACACACACACCACTCACTCACACACACAAACACACACCCCCACACACACACACACACCACACACACAACCACACACACACACACACACACACACACACACTCATACATGACAAGAACACTACAGACATTTTCACATAACATATACCACACTAGACAATCACAAACCACATCACTAACCATAGACACTCATCACACCACAACATAACCTGGCATCACACCACACAACTCACACACACACATAAGACCTGGCCATCACTATCCCAAATAGATCTGGTATCAACTAATAATTAGATCCTGTTTCATACCAACCCATTTTATCCTGGTAGATTTAAATACATTAGATCCTGGTATCACTACTCCATTAGATCCTGGTCTCACTACACTAAAACCATTAGATCCTGGTCATCACTATGCCAATAGATCCTGGTCATCACTACAACCACCCCCTTAGATCCTGGTCATCACTACACCATTAGATCCTGGTCATCACTATAAAATTGATCCTGGTCATCATAAAACCAAAATTGATCCTGGTCATCACTACACCATTAGATCCTGGTCATCACTATACCAAATTGATCCTGGTCATCACTACACCATTAGATCCTGGTCATCACTACAACCATTAGATCCTGGTCATCACACACACCATTAGATCCTGGTCATCACTACACCATTAGATCCTGGTCATCACTATACCATTAGATCCTGGTCATCACTACACCATTAGATCCTGGTCATCACTACACCATTAGATCCTGGTCATCACTACACCATTAGATCCTGGTCATCACTACACCATTAGATCCTGGTCATCACTACACCATTAGATCCTGGTCATCACTATACCATTAGATCCTGGTCATCACTACAACCATTAGATCCTGGTCATCACTACACCATTAGATCCTGGTCATCACTATACCATTAGATCCTGGTCATCACTACACCATTAGATCCTGGTCATCACTATACCATTAGATCCTGGTCATCACTATATCATTAGATCCTGGTCATCACTATATCATTAGATCCTGGTCATCACTACACCATTAGATCCTGGTCATCACTTACCAAATTAGATCCTGGTCATCACTACACATCTAGATCCTGGTCATCACTACACCATTAGATCCTGGTCATCACTAAAACATCTAGATCCTGGTCATCACTATACCGTTAGATCCTGGTCATCACTACACGTTAGATCCTGGTCATCACTACAACATTAGATCCTGGTCATCACTACACCATTAGATCCGGGTCATCACTACAACCATTAGATCCTGGTCATCACTACCCATTAGATCCTGGTCATCACTATACAATTGATCCTGGTCATCACTACAACCATTAGATCCTGGCCCATCACTACACCATTGATCCTGGTCATCACTACACCATTAGATCCTGGTCATCACTACACCGTTAGATCCTGGTCATCACTACACAATCTGATCCTGGTCATCACTACACCATTAGATCCTGGTCATCACTACACCATTAGATCCTGGTCATCACTACACCATTAGATCCTGGTCATCACTACACCATTAGATCCTGGTCATCACTACCATTAGATCCGGGTCATCACTATACCGTTAGATCCTGGTCATCACTACACCATTAGATCCTGGTCATCACTACACCATTAGATCCTGGTCATCACTACACATTAGATCCTGGTCATCACTACACAATCTGATCCTGGTCATCACTACACAATCTGATCCTGGTCATCACTACACAATCTGATCCTGGTCAACACTATACCATTAGATCCTGTGGGGGGCGTAGTGGTAACGTAGTAGTAGTAGTCTGCTATTTTTATACCACCTTTACAGGTCCTCCTCCCTCCCTCCCTCCCTCCCTCCCCTCCCCCCCCTCCCTCCCTCCCTCCCTCCCTCCCTCCTCCCTCCTCCCTCCCCCTCCCTCCGCCCCCCTCCCTCCCTCCCTCCCTCCTCCCTCCCCCCTCCGCCCACCTCCCCTCCCTCCCTCCCTCCCTCCCTCCCTCCCTCCCTCCCTCCCTCCCTCCCCTCCTCCCCACCTCCTCCCTCCCTCCCTCCCGCCCCCCCCTCCCCTCCCTCCCTCCCTCCCTCCCTGCCCTCCCTCCCTCCCTCCCTCCCTCCCTCCCTCCCTCCCTCCGCCCCACCTCCCTCCCTCCCTCCTCCCCTCCCTCCCTCCCCTCCCTCCCTCCCTCCCTCCCTCCTCCTCCCTCCCTCCCTCCCTCCCTTCCTCCCTCCCTCCCTCCGCCCCACCTCCCCTCCCTCCCTCCCTCCCTCCCTCCTCCCCCCCCCCCTCCCCTCGCCTCCCCCTCCCTCCCTCCCTCCCTCCCTCCCAGACTGCAGCAATATCCTGAAAGTAAAAAATATATGAAGTAAAATGATCCATATGGTAAAGAGCTTGATTTCCCCCCTCTCCGTTCCTCCTCCCCTCCTCCTTACCTCACCCCTTCCCTCCACCCTGCATCTATGCAAACAGGGCCCCCGTCGGCCCCCCATCGGGCCCCTAGGAGCACACATAGGGATCTGACAACTCACTTCACTTTTAAAATGGGCTCGTCATTGAAATGCTTTAATAGCATTCCTGGATTATTTCACTGTGCTATTACTTTCATATGGGGTTGCACAGGGGTGGTGGAGAGGTGGGCTTTAAAACAACTAGCTAGAAACACCTCAGATCTAACTAAAGGTGCTGGCTGGACTGGTTGTGGCATTTCACGGGTGTGGTTTGTGGTTGTGTGTACGTGTGTGTGCGTGTTGTCGTGTGTGTACGGTGTGTGTCGTGTGTGTGCTGTGTGTACGTGTGTTACGTTGTGTTACGTGTGTGTGCGTGTGTTCGTGTGTGTCTGTGCGTGTGTTGTCGTTGTGTACGTTGTTTGCGTTGTGTCGTGTTTTGTTGCTGTGTGTGCGTTGTGTGCGTGTGTGTCGTGTGTGTACGTTGTGTTCGTGTGTGTGCGTTGTTGTGCGTGTGTGTTGTGTGCGTGTTGTGTGCGTTTGTTCGTGTGTGTCGTTGTGTTGCTGTTTGTTGCGTGTGTGTGCGTGTGTGTCGTGTGTGCGTGTGTGTCGTTGTGCTGTGTGTCGTCTGTGGTGCGTGTGTTCTTTGTGTGTCGTTGTGTGTCGTTTGTGTGCGTGTGTTGTTGCGTGTGTGTGCTTTGTGTGTGCGTGTTTGCGTGTGTGTACGTTGTGTTGCGTGTGTGTGCGTGTGTTGCGTGTGTGTACGTGTGTGTTGCGTGTGTGGTCGCGTGTGCTGTGTGCGTGTGTTGTACGTGTGTGTGTGTGTGTGTGTGTGCGTGTGTGTGCGTGTGTGTGCGTGTGGGACTCTCTTTCAATTTCAATTCCATTCAAGGGGCTTTATTAGTATGGGAAACATACATTTACATCGTCAAAGCGAGTAGAATAGAAAATAAACTAATGAGAATTAAACAATCAGAAATGAACAGTAAACATTACATTCACAAAAGTTTTAAAATAATAAAGACATTTCAAATGTTATATTATTGGCTGTGTCCAGTGTTGTAACAATGTGCAAATAGTTGAAGAATGAAAGGGAAAATAAATAAACAGATAAATAATGGTTGTATTTAATATGTTGTTTGTGCTCCACTGGTTGCTCTTTTCTCATGGCAACAGGCCACACATCTTGCTGCTGTGATGGCAGACTGCGGTATTTCGCCTAACAGATATGGGAGTTTATCAACATTTGATTTGTTTTCTAATTCTTTGTGGGTCTGTGTAATCTGAGGGAAATATGTGTCTACATTTGGCAGGAGGTTAGGAAGTGCAGCTCAGTTTCCACCTTATTTTGTGGGCAGTGTGCACATAAGCCTGTCTTCTCTTGAGAGCCAGGTCTGCCTCTCTCAATAGCAAGGCTATGCTCACTGAGTCTGTACATAGTCAAACAAAATCTTAATTTTGGTCAGGTATTCTGTGTACTCTCTGTTTAGGGCCTGATAGCATTCCAATTTGCCCAGTTTTTTGGTTGATTCTTTCAAGTGTGTCAAATTGTTATATTTATGCTTTCTCTAATTGTGTTTCTGTCGTGGGGCTCTGTGGGGTCTGTTTGTGAACAGAGCCAGCTGGCTGAGGAGACTCTTCTCCAGGTTCATCTCTCTGTAGGTGAGGGCTTTGTGATGGAATGTGTGGGCATCGCTTCCTTTTAGGTGGTTGTAGAATTTAACGGCTGTTTTCTGGATTTTGATAACTAGCGGGTATCGGGCCTAATTCTGCTCTGCATGCATTATTTGGTGTTTTATGTTGTACACTGAGGATGCTTTTGCAGAATTCCACATGCAGAGTCTCAATTTGGTGTTTGTCCCATTTTGTGAATTCTTGGTTGGTGAGCGGACCCCAGACCTCACAACCATAGAGGTCAATGGGTTCTATAGCTGATTCCAGTATTTTTAGCCAGATCCTAATTGAGATGTCACATTTGATGTTCCTTTTGATGGTGTAGAAGGCCCTTCTTGTCTCTCAGATAGTTCACAGCTTTGTGGAAGTAACATTTGATGTTGGTGTTTAGGCCGAGGTAGGTATAGTTTTTTGTGTGCTCTAGGGCAACAGTCTCTCTATTTCTCTGTGTGCGACCCGACCTAGGCCTACTCACAGGGTGTAATGTTTTAATGTCATGTTTGCTGAAGCCCAGGCTTCTCTCCTTCTCAGCAGCACTGGTCAAATTAGGCCAGGAACTCTTCTCTTCAGGGAATGGAACACCAATAAAACACAGGCTGGATGGATGAGGCACAATGCGCTATTGAAACTCTGTTTTCTCTACAAATGACCTCTCTCTCTCTCTCCTCCTCTCTCTCTCTTCTCTCTCTCTCTCCCTCCCCCCCTCCCCCTTCTCTCTTCTCTCTCTCTCTCTTCTCTCTCTCTCTTCTCTCTCTCTCTCTCATTAAAGCTAGAGTGCAGACCGTACTTGTTTTTACACAACCCTTCGCCCTCACTGTGGGGGTGGTTTACATTTTAATCACACAAGCCTGGAATTTCTGCAGCTGCTTGCAAAAGGCTCTCTGTTTACGAGATAGCACTGGTCGACAAACAGAGCCTGTCTATAGACTCTCTGGATGCTTCTCTCTGACTCCTCTCTTCTCTCTGACTCCTCTCTTCTCTTCACCCCCCTAGGGTACTGGAACTTAAAATAGGTAACTTGGTTAAGTTAAGTAGTTTCGTTAAGTTAGGTAGTTTGGTTAAGTTAAGTAGTTTCGTTAAGTTAGGTAGTTGGTTACATTAGTAGTTTGGTTAGTAGTAGTTTGGTTAGTTAGGTAGTTTGGTGAGTCTAAGTAGTTTCGTTAAGTTAGGTTAGTTTGGTTAAGTTAGGTAGTTTGGTTAAGTTAAGTAGTTTCGTTAAGTTAGGTAGTTTGGTTAAGTTCGGTGTTTTGGTTAAGTTAGGTAGTTTCGTTAAGTTAGGTAGTTTGGTTAAGTTAAGTAGTTTCGTTAAGTTAGGTAGTTTGGTTAAGTTAGGTAGTTTGGTTAAGTTAGGTAGTTTGGTTAAGTTAGGTAGTTTGGTGAAGTTAGGTACCGTAAAACTTCAATTAATAACCTGGGCATTTATTTGCATAAATCACTGAACACAACAGGCGCTTAGTAGAGACAGGTTTCTATTTTCTCAGGTTTGCTTATTTGCATAGTTAACAGTTTAATTCCAGAACTCACTTCCAGCATTTTAATACATTTCTTCATTTCCTGCACTAATGTGTTATCATTTACACACTGTGCAGTGCCTCTATACAAATAAATAAAAACACTTTTCCTTCACCAAATAATGATTCTCCTCTTAGACTGTGCATTTTTTCGGCAGTTTTATTTTCGCCACTAGAGGGCAGTTCATATTTTCGCCACTTATTTGAAACAGCCGTTTATTTCCTGAAATGTGTTGCCCGGCTATTAAAGGGACAGGCAGCTATTTGAGACTGCGTTTAATTGAAGTTTTACGGTAGTTTGTTTAAGTTAGTTAGTTCAGTTAAGTTAGGTAGTTCGGTTAAGTTCGTGGTTGGTTTTGTGTATGGTTAATTCGTGTTTGGTTAAGTTCGGTGGTTTGGTTAAGTTAGGTAGTTTAGTTAAGTTCGGTGGTTTGGTTAAGTGCGGTGGTTTGGTTAAGTTAGGTAGTTTAGTTAAGTTAGGTAGTTTGGTTAAGTTAGGTGGTTTGGTTAGTTCGGTGTTTGTGAAAAACTGAGTTTAAATGTATTTAGCTAAGGTGGTTGTTAACTTCGGTAGTTTGGTTTAAGTTAGTAGTTTACTTTACTATTTGGAGCTTTTAAGCGGCTGTTTGTGTTAACGTTATAGTTCAGTTAATTTTTTTGTTAAGTTGGGGTGGTTTGGCTAAGGGGTAGAAGGTTCGTTAAATTATCTCCAGGTATTCTTTTGAAAAAGTGGGTTTCAAATGTTCCGGAAGGGTATGTAAACTTCCGCGTTAAACTGTAGATACTATAAGTCATTTACATTTAAAAGTTAGCCCCATTGCAAACATTTATCCAGAGGAATACAATGGTGATCAATACCCAGTGGGTCTATACACTTTTTTTTTTTTGGGTGGGGGACAAGGGGCCCATAGTAGGATTACTATCCTATCCCAGGGATCAAGGGTGGGGTTCACCCAAGTCTCGAAGCTTGGGCAGGTGACCCATAGTCCTGTCATGGGGACAGGTGAGACCCTAGGCCTATACATATATAGGGACAGTGAGCCCCATAGTGCTATATAGATAGGGACAAGGTGAACCCATAGTGCTCTATACTATATTAGGGGACAAGGTGAGACCCATAGTGCTCTATACTATATATAGGGGACAAGGTGAGCCCCATAGTGCTCTATACTATATATAGGGGACAAGATGAGCCCATAGTGCTCTATACTATATATAGGGGACAAGGTGAGACCCATAGTGCTCTATACTATATATAGGGACAAGGTGAGCCCCATAGTGCTCTAGTATATATAGGAACAGGTGAGACCCATAGTGCTCTATACTATATATAGGGGACAAGGTGAGACCCATAGTGCTCTATACTATATATAGGGGACAAGGTGAGCCCCATAGTGCTCTATACTATATATAGGGGACAAGGTGAGACCCCATAGTGCTCTATACTATATATAGGGGACAAGGTGAGACCCATAGTGCTCTATACTATATATAGGGGACAAGGTGAGACCCATAGTGCTCTATACTATATATAGGGGACAAGGTGAGCCCCATAGTGCTCTATACTATATATAGGGGACAAGGTGCCATTTGGGAGGCTGTTCTGATCTTCATATACACATGGTGCATACATATCAACATTCAGCCTTGTTGACTTAGTGGGTCAGATTTTTACTGCCATTCAGTCTTGTTGACTCAGTGGGTCAGATCTTTACTGCCATTCAGCCTTGTTGACTTAGTGGGTCAGATCTTTTACTGCCATTCATACTTGGTCTTTGTCAAATGTAATGCGCTATATAGGGAATAGGGTGCCATTCTCTGGTCTAAAGTAATGCGCTATATAGGGAATAGGGTGCCATTCTCTGGTCTAAATTTTGCACTATATAGGGAATAGGGTGCCATTCTCTGGTCTAAACTAGTGATGCGCTATATAGGGAATAGGGTGCCATTTGGGACTCAGTCTATATCTCTACTAGCGAGATGCTGTAATCATTGATAGGGCTTCAGATTAGATGGCAGTCATAAACGTCTGCTGCATCTGTGTGTCAAGGCCTTCCGTGTATTGACGTGTGTGTGTGTGTGTGTGTGTGTGTGTGCGCGTCTGTGTGTGTTGTGTGTGTGTTGATGTGCGCGTCTGTTGTGTGTGTGTGATGTGCGCGTCTTGCTGTTGGTGTGTGTTGTGCTCTGGTCGTGTGTGTGGTGTGTGTGTTGTGTGTTTGTGATTGTGTGTGTTATTTGCGCGTCTGTGTTGGTGTGTGATTGTGGTGTTATGTGTGCGCGTCTGTTGTGTGTGTGTGTTGTGTGTTTGTGTTGTGTGTGTGTGTGTGTGTGTGTGCGCGTCTGTGTGCTTGTGTTTGTGTTGAAATGTGACTGCGTGTTAAACATCTCACTGAATCAGCCAGTCCTCTGACTGCTCCTTTGAGAAATGTTTCTATCAATACGTTCCCATCAGAGGGATTACCTACAAAATGCTTCTAGTCAATCATATTCCCCTCAGTCAATATGGTGCTGTATATATTCCCCTCAGTCAATATGGTGCTGTATCATATTCCCCTCAGTCAATATGGTGCTGCATCATATTCCCCTCAGTCAATATGGTGCTGTATCATATTCCCCTCAGTCAATATGGTGCTGTATCATATTCCCCTCAGTCAATATGGTGCTGTATCATATTCCCCTCAGTCAATATGGTGCTGTATCATATTCCCCTCAGTCAATATGGTGCTGTATCATATTCCCCTCAGTCAATATGGTGCTGCATCTATTCCCCTCAGTCAATATGGTGCTGTATCATATTCCCCTCAGTCAATATGGTGCTGTATCATATTCCCCTCAGTCAATATGGTGCTGTATCATATTCCCCTCAGTCAATATGGTGCTGTATCATATTCCCCTCAGTCAATATGGTGCTGTAATCATATTCCCCTCAGTCAATATGGTGCTGTATCATATTCCCCTCAGTCAATATGGTTCTGCATCACATTCCCCTCAGTCAATATGGTGCTGTATCATATTCCCCTCAGTCAATATGGTGCTGTATCATATTCCCCTCAGTCAATATGGTGCTGTATCATATTCCCCTCAGTCAATATGGTGCTGCATCATATTCCCCTCAGTCAATATGGTGCTGTATCATATTCCCCTCAGTCAATATGGTGCTGTATCATATTCCCCTCAGTCAATATGGTGCTGTATCATATTCCCCTCAGTCAATATGGTGCTGTATCATATTCCCCTCAGTCAATATGGTGCTGTATCATATTCCCCTCAGTCAATATGGTGCTGCATCATATTCCCCTCAGTCAATATGGTGCTGTATCATATTCCCCTCGGTGACAGTTGTTGGATATTTAGTGTACATGCGCTTAGTTTGTAGTGTGTGTGTGTTTAGTTTGTAGTGTGTGTGTGTTTAGTTTGTGGTGTGTGTGTGTTTAGTTTGTAGTGTGTGTGTGTTTAGTTTGTGGTGTGTGTGTGTTTAGTTTGTAGTGTGTGTGTGTTTAGTTTGTGGTGTGTGTGTGATAAAGAGAGATAAAGTGATAGAAAGAAAGAGAACAAGAGATAGTTAGAGAAAGACAAACTTGAACAGAGGAACACTGTGCTTGCATCCCGATGCAAATAATGATCTCTTTCAATGAGCTCAGGATGGTCTCTCTCTCTTCCCCTCGTCTGTCTGTTATCACTCCTCCTTCCTGATGGTCTCTCTCTCTCTTCCCCTCGTCTGTCTGTTATCACTCCTCCTTCCTGATGGTCTCTCTCTCTTCCCCTCGTCTGTCTGTTATCACTCCTCCTTCCTGATGGTCTCTCTCTCTCTTCCCCTCGTCTGTCTGTTATCACTCCTCCTTCCGATGGTCCTCTCTCTCCTTCCCCTCGTCTGTCTGTTATCACTCCTCCTTCCTGATGGTCTCTCTCTCTCTTCCCCTCATCTGTCTGTTATCACTCCTCCTTCCGGATGGTCTCTCTCTCTCTTCCCCTCGTCTGTCTGTTATCACTCCTCCTTCCTGATGGTCTCTCTCTCTCTTCCCCTCGTCTGTCTGTTATCACTCCTCCTTCCGGATGGTCTTCTCTTCTCTCTCCCCCTCGTCTGTCTGTTATCCTCTCCTCTTCCTGATGGTCTCTCTCTCTCTTCCCCTCATCTGTCTGTTATCACTCCCTCCTTCCGGATGGTCTCTCTCTCTCTTTCCCCTCGTCTGTCCTTTACACTCCTCCTTCCTGATGGTCTCTCTCTCCTCTCTCTTCCCCTCGTCTGTCTGTTATCACTCCTCCTTCCTGATGGTCTCTCTCTCTCTTCCCCTCGTCTGTCTGTTATCACTCCTCCTTCCTGATGGTCTCTCTCTCTTCCCCTCGTCTGTCTGTTATCACTCCTCCTTCCTGATGGTCCTCTCTCTCTTCCCCTCGTCTGTCTGTTTTCACTCCTCCTTCCTGATGCTGAGACAACTAACATCATCCACTTTGAATGGTTTTGCATGAACTAGCCCCATACTACACTATTTGCATTCATTTAGCATCTTAATCCCCCCTCGGGGGACATTTGTGGTGTGTGTTGCATATTACATATTGAAATGTATTTTGTAATGATACACTTTGTAGAAAGACAATGTCATCATAGCAAAATTATGATTTTGTTTTTGTTTATGTTTATGATGAATGATCTCATCTGCCGATACTACAGTTGGTTGTATCATAATGTTCTGTGTGTGCTGAATGTGGTGAACTTTTCTCAGTGGCCTATACATCTGATGTGCCATTTACATTTCCCCTTCCCTTTCATATTAAAAGACGGCTGTTTCTATTTGATCCATTGTTTGACTGAATGTTTATCAGTGTTGGTCAGTGTGTGGTCAGTGTGTGGTCAGTATGTGGTCAGTTGTGTCAGTGTTGTCATGTGTGGTCAATGTGTGGTCAATATGTGGTCAGTATGTGGTCAGTAGGGTCAGTGTGTGTCAATGTGTGGTCAATATGTGGTCAGTATGTGGTCAGTATGTGGTCAGTGTGTGGTCAGTTCTTTTGGGGGGTTGGTCAGTTGTGGTCATGTGGTTTTTGGTCATATGGTCAGTATGTGGTCATATTGGTCATGTATGTTGGTCAGTATGGGTGTGGTCAGTATGTGGTCATTGTGGTCAGTGTATGTGTGCAGTGGTGGTCGTGGTGTCAGTATTGGTCAGTATGTGTCATGGGGGTCAGTGTCCCTTTTTTTTTCCCGGGGGGCCCCCCCCCCAAAAAAATTTTTTCCCCTTTTTCCCTTTCTCTCTTTTTTCCCCCCTTTTTTTCCCCCCCCCCTTTTTCCCCCCCCTTCCCCCCCCCTTTTTTTTTTTTCCCTTTTTTTTTCCCCCCCCCCCCCCCCGGGCCCCCTTCCCCCTTTTTTTTCCCCCCTTTTTTTTTCCCCCCCCCCCCCCCCCCTTTTTTTTCCCCCTCCCCCCGGGCCCCCCCCCTTTTTTTCCTTTTTCCCCCCTTTCCCCCCCCCCCCCCCTTTTTTTTTAATTTTTCCCCCCCCCCCCCCCCGGGGTTTTGGGGGGGGGGGTTTTTCCCTTTTTCCCATTTCCCCCCGGGGGCCCCCCGGGGGGTTTTCCCCCTTTTTTTTTTTTAAAAAAACCCTTTTAAAATTTTTTTTTTAAAAAAATTATTTTTGTTTTTTTTAAGAAAAAAGGGGGCCCCCCCCTTTTTTTTTGGGGTTTTGGTTTTTCCCCCCCTTTTTTTTTTTTTTCCCCTTTTTTTTTTCCTTTTTGCCCAAAAAAAAATTTTTTTAAATTTGGCCCGGTTCCCGGGGGGGGGTTTTTTGGGAAATTTTTTTTGGGGTTTTTTGGGGGTTCCGGGGGGTTTTTTTTGGGGGGGGGGGGGGCCCCCCGGGGGGGTTTTTTGGGGGCCCCAACCCCCGGGAATTTTTGGGTTTTTTTTTTCGGGGGTTTTTGGGGCCCCTTTTTTGGGGGGGCCCTTTGGGAAATTTTCCCGGGGGGGGGGCCCCCTTTTTTGGGGGTTTGTTTTTTGGGTAATTTTTTTTTGGGGGGAAAAAGGGGGGGGTAAAGGGGAAAAGGGGGCCTTTTCCCCCCCTTTTCCCCCCTTTTTTTTCCCCCCCCCCCGGGGGGTTTTAAATTTTTTTGGGGCCCCTTGGGCCCCTTTTAAGGGTTTGTTTTTTCCCCCCGGGGCCCCTTTTTTTTTTTTGGGGGGGGGGGAGTTTTTTTCCCCCCCCCGGGTTTTAATTTTTTTTTTTTGGGGGGGGGCCCCCCCCCCTTTTTGGGTTTGGGGCCCCCCCCCCGGGGGGGGGCCCCCCCCCGGGGGGAAGGGGGAATTGTTTTTTTTGGGTTTTTCCCCCCCCCCCCCTTTTTCCCCCTTCCGGTTTTCCCCCCCCCCCCGGGGCCCCCCCCCCCCCCCCCCCCCCCCCGGGGAAGGGGGGGCCCCCCCCCCAAAAACCCCCTTTCCCCCTTTCCCCCTTTCCCTTTTTTCCCCCCCCCCCCCCCCCCTTTTTTTTTCCCCCCCCCCCCCCCCCCGGGGGAAAAAAGGGGGGGGGGGTTTTTCCCCCCCCCCCCCCCCCCGGGGGGGGGGGGGGGAAAAAAAAAAAAAAAAACCCCCCCCCCCCCAAAAAAAGGAAAAAAAAAAAAAGGGGGGGGGGGGAAAGGTGGGCCCGGGAAAAAGGGGGGGGGGGGGGGGGAAAAAAAAAAGGGGGGGGGAAAAAAAGGGGGGGAAAAAGGGGAAAAAAAAGGGGGGGGGAAAAAAAAAAAGGGGGGGGGGCCCCCCCCCCCCCAACCACCCGGGCCCGGGGCCCCCCCCCCCGGGGGGGGGGGCCCCCCCCCCCCCCCCCCCCCCCCCCCCCCCCCCCCCGGGGGGGGGGCCCCCCCAAAAAAAAAAAAGGGGGAAAAAAAGGGGGAAGGAAGGCGGGAAAAAAAAAAAAAAAAAAAAAGGGGGGAAAAAAAGGGGGGGGGGAAAAAAAAACCAAAAAAAGGGGGGGCCCCCAAAAAAAGGGGGGGAAAAAAAAAGGAAAAAAAAGGGGGGGAAAAAAAAAGGGGGAAAAAAGGGGAAAAAAGGGGAAAAGGGGGAAAAAAGGAAAGGGGGGGGGAAAAAAAAAAGGGGGGGGGAAAAAGGGGGGGGGGGGAAAAAAAAAAAAAGGGGGGGGGGGGGGGGGGAAAAAAAGGGGAAAAGGGGGGAAAAAAAGGGGGGGAAAAAAAGGAAAAAGAAAAAGGGGGGGGGGGGGAAAAAAAGGAAAAAAGGGGGGGGGGAAAAAAGGGGAAAAAGGGGGAAAAGGAAAAAGGGAAAAAAAAAAGGGGGAAAAAGGGGGGGGAAAGGAAAAAAAAAGGGGAAAAAAAAAAACAAAGGGGGGAAAAAAAAAGGGGGGGGGGAAAAAGGGGGGGGGGTTTTTTTTTTTTTCCCTTTTTTTTTTTGGGGGGGTTTTTTGGTTTTAAAAAGGAAAATTTTTTTGGTTTTTTTGGGGTTTTTTTTAAAAACCCTTTTTTTTAAAAAAAAATGGCCCTTTTTTGGGGGGGTTTTTTTGGGAATTTTTTTTAAAAAAAATTTTTTAAAAAAGGGGGGGGTTTTTTTTTTTTTTTTTAAAAAAAATTTTTCGGGGTTTTTGGGGGTTTTTAATAGGTTTTGGATTTTTTTTTTTTTTTTTTTAAAAAAAAAAATTTTTTTAAAAAAAATTTTTAGGGGGGGGAAAATTTTTTTAGGTTTTTTTTTTTTTTTAGGATGGGTTTTAAAAAAATTTTTTTTAAAAAATTTTAGGTTTTATGGGGAAATTTTTGGGGGTTTTTTTAATTTTTTAAAATTTTTTGGGGTTTTTTGGGGAAAATTTAAGGTTTTTTGGGGTTTTTTATTTTTTTTTGGGGGGTTTTTTGGGGGGTTTTTTTTAAAAGGTTTTAAAAGGGGGAATTTAATAGGTTTTAATAGGTTTTTTTTTTTTAAAAAAAGGGGGGGTTTTTGGTTTTTTTGGGTTTTTAATAGGATGGGTTTTTTTTTTTTTGGGGGGTTTTTATCCGTTCCTGCCTTCTCTGTAAAAGACAACATCCTCTTTGGCAGATAGAGAGGTGTAAGGTAACACTCAGCCATCAATACAATACAATAATGGATCAACTATACTATAGGCTGGGGAGTTTGTCTGTACGTCATGTTCTACGTATAGAAAACTCAAGGAAACTGGAGCTACTGCTTTTAATGACTGTTGAGTTGTTAGCTATAGGATAGGTTATATAGGATAGGTTCTATAGGATAGGTTATATAGGATAGGTTCTATAGGATAGGTTATATAGGATAGGTTATATAGGATAGGTTCTATAGGATAGGTTCTATAGGATAGGTTCTATAGGATAGGTTATATAGGATAGGTTATATAGGATAGGTTCTATAGGATAGGTTCTTTAGGATAGGTTCTATAGGATAGGTTCTTTAGGATAGGTTAGCTATAGGATAGGTTCTATAGGATAGGTTCTTTAGGATAGGTTATATAGGATAGGTTCTATAGGATAGGTTCTATAGGATAGGTTCTATAGGATAGGTTAGCTATAGGATAGGTTCTATAGGTTAGCTATATGATTGGTTATATAGGATAGGTTCAATAGGTTAGGTTCTATAGGTTAGCTATAGGTTAGGTTATATAGGATAGGTTCTATAGGTTAGCTATAGGTTAGGTTATATAGGATAGGTTATATAGGATAGGTTCTATAGGATAAGTTCTATAGGTTAGGTTCTATAGGATAGGTTCTATAGGTTAGCTATAGGTTAGGTTATATAGGATAGGTTATATAGGATAGGTTAGCTATAGGTTAGGTTATATAGGATAGGTTCTATAGGATAGGTTATATAGGATAGGTTCTATAGGATAGGTTCTATAGGTTAGGTTCTATAGGATAGGTTCTATAGGTTAGCTATAGGTTAGGTTATATAGGATAGGTTCTATAGGTTAGCTATAGGTTAGGTTATATAGGATAGGTTCTATAGGATAGGTTCTATAGGATAGGTTCTATAGGATAGGTTCTATAGGATAGCTATAGGTTAGGTTATATAGGATAGGTTCTATAGGATAGGTTCTATAGGTTAGGTTCTATAGGATAGGTTCTATAGGTTAGCTATAGGTTAGGTTATATAGGATAGGTTATATAGGATAGGTTCTATAGGATAGGTTCTATAGGATAGGTTATATAGGATAGGTTATATAGGATAGGTTCTATAGGATAGGTTCTATAGGATAGGTTATATAGGATAGGTTCTATAGGATAGGTTCTATAGGATAGGTTATATAGGATAGGTTCTATAGGATAGGTTCTATAGGATAGGTTATATAGGATAGGTTCTATAGGATAGGTTCTATAGGATAGGTTATATAGGATAGGTTCTATAGGATAGGTTCTATAGGATAGGTTCTATAGGATAGGTTCTATAGGATAGGTTCTATAGGATAGGTTATATAGGATAGGTTCTATAGGATAGGTTCTATAGGATAGGTTATATAGGATAGGTTCTATAGGATAGGTTCTATAGGATAGGTTCTATAGGATAGGTTCTATAGGATAGGTTCTATAGGATAGGTTATATAGGATAGGTTCTATAGGATAGGTTCTATAGGATAGGTTATATAGGATAGGTTCTATAGGATAGGTTCTATAGGATAGGTTATATAGGATAGGTTCTATAGGATAGGTTCTATAGGATAGGTTATATAGGATAGGTTCTATAGGATATGTTCTATAGGTTAGGTTCTATAGGATAGGTTCTATAGGATAGGTTCTATAGGATAGCTATAGGTTAGGTTATATAGGATAGGTTCTATAGGATAGCTATAGGTTAGGTTATATAGGATAGGTTCTATAGGATAGGTTATATAGGATAGGTTCTATAGGATAGGTTCTATAGGATAGGTTCTATAGGATAGGTTCTATAGGATAGGTTCTATAGGATAGGTTCTATAGGATAGGTTCTATAGGATAGGTTATATAGGATAGGTTATATAGGATAGGTTCTATAGGATAGGTTCTATAGGATAGGTTCTATAGGATAGGTTCTATAGGATAGGTTATATAGGATAGGTTCTATAGGTTAGCTATAGGTTAGGTTATATAGGATAGGTTCTATAGGTTAGCTATAGGTTAGGTTATATAGGATAGGTTATATAGGATAGGTTCTATAGGATAGGTTCTATAGGATAGGTTATATAGGATAGGTTCTATAGGATAGGTTCTATAGGATAGGTTCTATAGGATAGGTTCTATAGGATAGCTATAAGATATAGGTTAGATAATGGATCACTGCTATTGGATCATGTTCTTTTATCATTACTCCTTTAGCAAGCTTTGTTTTTCATGTTTATAATTCACAGTTGTCATACCCCATACCAGGGGTCCCCGACTGGTGGCCCGTGGGTGGTTTTATTTGTCCCCCCCATGTTTTTTGAGCAACAAAACCCATAAAAATAAAATAATATTGTCATGAAAAAATGTAAAAACACCAGGAAGTCAGCTCCAAGTGATTTTAATTTTGGGAAATCTGTTCCCAAGTATTTCAACGCATAAGAGAGAGACACACGTGATCATATACAAATGTAAGCAAGGTTTGAAATGATTATGTGTCACTCAAATATTATATCTGTTTGGGCCTCTTGTGGGCGATTTGCCGTCTACAAATTAATTGTAATTATGTCCCGCCCCCCGACCATCCACTCAATGAAGAAATCGGCCCGATTAGGTTCTATAGGTTAGGTCAATAAAGAAATCGGCCCATCATGCCTGAATCTAGATGAGGATCCCTGCCCTATACTCACTCACTGTCACTATAGCTGAATGGTCCTATTTCACCAATGCTAATAAGTCACTTTGCTTTCAAAAGAGACCACATTTACTCCCAACACTTACAGCAACAATTAAAAAAAATCCTCATCTTAGATTTAGCAAATATCCATGATAGTGCTGCGATAATTAGTATGTCAACTAGGACAGTGATAATACCTGATAATATAGTCACACTTTTGCACTCCCAACACAACACATTTGTTTTGAAATAAATGCCATAGTAAAAGATCTGCTGGATGTGGTAGTTGTCATTTTACGATAGAATGTTTAGAAGTATGTGTTGAGAGGTTACTATAGTTTGTTGTTTGTTCCTGCCACACCTCTGAATCATAAATTAATGATTGGCTTGGAACAGCAGGCCTCTCTTCTACCCCCCCCCCCCTCTCCTCACAGAGACAGAATGAGAGAGAGAGAGAGAGAGAGAGAGAAGAGAGAAAGCTGACTCTTTATTTGGCCTGAGTCAGTCTCAGAATTCCACATCCATGTGAAACACCATTCCCCACCTCCCCACTAGAAACCACACCATAGGGGACACCCACCCCATCCTCCCCCACTAGAAACCACACCATAGGGGACACCCACCCCATCCTCCCCCACTAGAAACCACACCATAGGGGACACCCACCCCATCCTCCCCCACTAGAAACCACACCATAGGGGACACCCACCCCATCCTCCCCCACTAGAAACCACACCATAGGGGACACCCACCCCATCCTCCCCCACTAGAAACCACACCATATTTTATTTTATTTTTTATTTATTTATTTATTTCACCTTTATTTAACCAGGTAAACCAGTTGAGAACAAGTTCTCATTTACAACTGCGACCTGGCCAAGATAAAGCAAAGCAGTGCGATAAAAACAACAACACAGAGTTACATATGGGGTAAAACAAAACAAAGTCAAAAATACAACAGAAATACATATATATACAGTGTGTGCAAATGTAGCAAGTTATGGATGTAAGGCAATAAATAGGCTATAGTGCAAAATAATTACAATTAGTATTCACACTGGAATGATAGATGTGCAAGAGATGATGTGCAAATAGAGATACTGGGGTACAAATGAGCAAAATAAATAACAATATAGGGATGAGGTAGTTGGGCGGGCTAATTTCAGATGGGCTGTGTACAGGTGCAGTGATCGGTAAGGTGCTCTGACAACTGATGCTTAAAGTTAGTGAGGGAGATAAGTGTCTCCAGCTTCAGAGATTTTTGCAATTTGTTCCAGTCATTGGCAGCAGAGAACTGGAAGGAATGGCGGCCAAAGGAGGTGTTTGCTTTGGGGATGACCAGTGAGATATACCTGCTGGAGCGCAGACTACGGGTGGGTGTTGCTATGGTGACCAATGAGCTAAGATAAGGCGGGGATTTGCCTAGCAGTGATTTATAGATGGCCTGGAGCCAGTGGGTTTGGCGACGAATATGTAGTGAGGACCAGCCAACAAGAGCGTACAGGTCACAGTGGTGGGTAGTATATGGGGCTTTGGAGACAAAACGGATGGCACTGTGATAGACTACATCCAATTTGCTGAGTAGAGTGTTGGAGGCTATTTTGTAAATGACATCGCCGAAGTCAAGGATCGGTAGGATAGTCAGTTTTACGAGGGCATGTTTGGCAGCATGAGTGAAGGAGGCTTTGTTGCGAAATAGGAAACCGATTCTAGATTTAACTTTGGATTGGAGATTCTTTATGTGAGTCTGGAAGGAGAGTTTACAGTCTAACCAGACACCTAGATATTTGTAGTTGTCCACATACTCTAGGTCAGACCCGTCGAGAGTAGTGATTCTAGTCGGGTGGGCGGGTGCAAGCAGCGTTCGGTTTGAAGAGCATGCATTTAGTTTTACTAGTGTTTAAGAGCAGTTGGAGGCTACTGAAGGAGTGTTGTATGGCATTGAAGCTCGTTTGGAGGTTTGTTAACACAGTGTCCAATGAAGGGCCAGATGTATACAAAATGGTGTCGTCTGCGTAGAGGGGGATCTGAGAGTCACCAGCAGCAAGAGCGACATCATTGATATACACGGAGAAAAGAGTCGGCCCAATAATTGAACCCTGTGGCACCCCCATAGAGACTGCCATAGGTCCAGACAACAGGCCCTCCGATTTGACACATTGAACTCTATCTGAGAAGTAGTTGGTGAACCAGGCGAGGCAGTCATTTGAGAAACCAAGGCTATTTAGTCTGCCAATAAGAATGCGGTGGTTGACAGAGTCGAAAGCCTTGGCCAGGTCAATGAAAACGGCTG